TATGCTTCCCACGGTGCCTTTCCATCGAATTCCTGTGGCTTCCTTCGTACTGGATCACTCCTATTACTGACATTCATATCTGGGATGTAACTTCTAACAGGACTGTAGATGTCTGCATTAGGGTTTAGCTGCGTGGTCTGGAAGAGGCTTGCCACTTGTTTGGGGCTAATTAAGTCGTTGGCTAATGTATCCTCCTTGTGTAAAAGATAATAAATTATCCTTTAATGTATGTAATTCACTTTTAAATTTACTAATGTTTTCCATTTGTACTTTTTGCCATTGTTGTTGACTTTCCTGTAACTGTTGGAGACTTTCTTCCTGTTTATTTTCTTTCTCTTCCATCCACTGCTGTAGTCTCTCTTTTTGTTCATTTTCTTTCTCCTTCAATAGCTGTTGTAATCTCTCTTCTTGTTTCTTTTCTTTTTCCTCCAACAACTGTTGTAATCTCTCTTATTTTTTCTTTTCTCGTTCTTCTTGTTTCTTTTCTTTTTCCTCCAACAAATGCTGTAATTTCTCTTCTTGTTTCTTTTCTTTTTTCCTCCAACAACTGCTGTAATCTCTCTTCTTGTTTCTTTTCTCGTTCTTCTTGTTTCTTTTTCCTCCAACAACTGCTGTAATCTCTCTTCTTGTTTCTTTTCTCGTTCTTCTTGTTTCTTTTGCTCCTTATGTATTGCTGCCATCAAGTCTGCTAAGCTGTAGTTTGATTTGCCGCTTCTCGTTTCCTTTTTTTTTGTCCCACTCTCTGACACCAATTTGTTATGTCTCTGTTCGTTAGTTAATTTTCCGTAAATTCGTTCCGACGAAACTTTAGCGACACAAGTCCTTTCTTAAATAAAACTGGTTTATTCTTTCTGAATACAACTTTGCAATTCACTTAATTTCCACAGTCACGCTATAACAAACGCTTTAATTCACAACGAACGTTTCACGTGCTCGACTCAACAATACGTCTCTCTCTATCCGCAGTTCAATTATACATTGTTGCCGTCAAGTCTTCACCGTCTTATATGTACAAGAATATCGAAATCTAGTAAACGCTCGAGCATTCACGAACCTTCGAGAATATGACGTGTTACTAGCGTCACGTGACCCCCGCTGTCGTAACAGTATGTATAGAGCAGCATATGCATGAACCATAATACAGACTCTGGTTGTTAGTACGAAGTCTGCATTAAAATATGATTCAGAACCAGAAGAGTTGTTTTTAAAATGGCATAAATAGTTCAACATTTATATCTTACGATTGTTATGAAAATGTATTTAAACATTTTCACAAAGCTACACCATATTAAGTATTGTCTGGCAACAGTAAACGTATAGAAGTGGCTTGTATCTCGGAAATATTTTACTGAAAAGTATGCATACGAAAATAGATTATTTTATTAATACTTTATATGCAATAAGAAGAAAGTAATTGTGCATGATTTTTAGTTTATATTATGTTTACCAAGTTCCGATATTTCTTGTTACGTCATTTATGAATTTAAATTAGGATCTACATAGTATATTGAAATTTGTTTTTGAATTGTTAAGAATAGAGTTCCGATGTTTTGTTTTTCTGTATTGATTACTATTATCATTATTGAAGTGATACACGTTGCCCATATATTTTATTTCGAGGATATTATATTTCATCTGAAAATAGGAAGTTGGGAACAGTAGACATCATTATATTATAATACAAGCATAGCCCGTGTTTTACAAAAGAGAAAGAGCGAAAAAATAGAAGTTTTTGAATGGATTAGCGTCTTACCGACAGCGCAACATGCTTATAACCTGTAGTAATGTGCAGTACAAGAGCACGATCTAGGCTCTAATGTCATACGAGTGACGTCAAACAGGGGTCCATCCAGGGTCTTTCTGTCTCTTTGAAGGCGGGGCGTTCTTTCTACCATAAATAGCAACAGAAAGACGAATGTAGACTGTTTACTTGTGGTTTGACGGCTATTTGCGTTGGTGTTCACGGTTTAACATTTAACGATAACGGGTGTGTTAGACCTGTTAGCAAGCTAATTGTTGTTAGCCTTTTAGTGTGAACTTCAGTTTTATAACAGAAGCAGCAGGAAACTGGTAATTAAAGAAGTTTCGTATGTAATACTTTAGGCAGTTTTATTTTTCAAAATTCCTTAAAATAAGTTCAAGAAAAATCCGTCGTTATCTATTCACGCTGTTATATTCTTCTCAGATTTGAAAAAAATGGACCGACATTTTTAATAAATAGAGAGAAAATAAAGATTATGAAGGTTTCTCAATTAAAGGTAACATAAAATGAATTTAAAGACTACAGGTTATAAAACTGTTGGATGCTAAAATAATCTTGCCAGAATATCAGTATTTAAACTCTTCTATAATTTACTGTTATTCTCGTGATTTTGATTAGTTTTTATTTTAAACTAAAGGTGAATGTTTAATTTGTGCTTTTAATATGGAATTTAGTAAAGAATGGGTTGTATCTTCTAGACCTGTTGTAGTTGAAGGTAAAATCTTTCATGTATGTTGTATATTACAAATACAGGTTGTTTAAGTGGTGATAGAGAAAATATTTTTTGTGCAACTTGTCTCTCTTAAGCTAAGAAATATTTGATAAATTTGTAACAGCAAAGTGCTGCTTTTAAAAGCTCCAGTATTAACTTAGCTTTAAAGAGTCCTAAGCCAGAAAATATCAACTTAAAATATTGACATTACTTTTGAATTTGATATTAATTTGGCTAGAAATAAAATTGTGAGTAAATAAAAATGTGATTTGTAATTATGAGCTTAGTTTAACTGATTTGAGATTGTTTGAATTGTTCATTCTTAGTAAATTGTAAGTACATGCTTTGTTATCAAAACTGTGTATGTGAAAAGTTTCTTCTACTGTAATAAATACACCAATTTCTAGTAATTAGTTATATGAAAATAACTTTTCAATGAATACAATATTTGTTACCCAAATGATCATTTTACAACTTGTTTTTGGACCATTTTATTAATCAAATCGATAATATTTTAATGTAAATAAACTTTGTATGTTCCAGTTTTCATGATGCTAACTTTAGTTGAAAAACATACACTATAACTCTTGTGTGTGTGTGTGTAAAAAACAGTGTTTGTGGTAATTGTCTTGTAAAAACATATTGAAATACTTCTATATGAATCCCCCAATGGAACAGCTGTAAGTCTATGGACTTATAATGCTAAAATCCAGGTTTCAATTTCCTGCAATGTGGAACAAACAAATACATTTATATAAATAAATATAAAACACTGGAAGCAGTTTCATATCATTAGTAAAGAATGGATAGAAGAAATCTTATTTTGTTTTTTAATTGCAGTGTTGGTAATTGGTGTTTCAATTTCTTTTGTAGTGTGTCAGTTTCCTGTTGTCTTTATTTATGTGATTTGCTTTAAATATATATATATATTCTTAATAGGTTATGAACAAGTAGTCTTCTAAAGAGTTTCCACTGATGACATGAATCTTTGTTTAAAGGATGGGTTGTGTGTCCTCTAGACCTGTTGTTGTTGAAGGTAGAAACCTGTTTCATGTAAGTTATATAACAAATAAAGTTAAATTATAATTCGTGAGACTTTCTTAAGTTACTGTTTTTAGATTTGTCATAATTACATTTAACACACCTCCACCATAGTAATTCTAACTTTTCTACTGGTTAAAAATTTCACTGACACAAGCCTAGGAAGTCTTCCAAAGTTAACATTTTTCTTATTATGGTTAGATTATCTTTGTAATCAGCATTTTTAAGAAATAAATTGTATGATCCATAAAACTTAATGGAAATTAAGTAATTCATAGAAAAATTATTATTAGCATTTATACAGTATTGTTAAAATTGTAAATTTTTGATATCTTATTAAGTCACATGATTTATACAAACAAATATATTATAGTCTTTGTCAACTTCGTGCTGTTACATTTAGTTTAGATGCTTTTGATGTAGGTTCAGAGGTCCATAGGAATATTTTATTTAAAGACTGTGTAAAAGACATGAATGTTGAAAATATTTTTGTGATAATTAAGTAAGTTAGGCTGAAACTAGAAAATAAATATAATTCATACTTAATTTTTGTTACTTTGTATTTCTGACAGTTAAATTATTTTATTGCTTAAGTTGTATATGATTGGAGATATAAAATGCTATGATAGGATGCCTCAGTCAGTAACCAAGTAAATAACTGGACCAAGATATGAGATGTATTTCTATGTACACTTAAAAACCTTAGTTCATATTTAATTGAACTAGTAGCACAGATCTGTTAGACCAGCTTTTATTATGGATACATTGAGATTGAAATTGAGGTTCTGCTCCAGATGTATTGCAGCTATGGATATGATGAAGTAAATGTCAACTCTTAATTCTGGTGTTGGTATTGAATCTAGTGAAAGAATATATTTTTACAAATACCTGAATCTTTACGTTTTATCAACCACATGTTTCCTACAAACTGCTATCATGTACAAGGGTTTCGGGTAGTTTTTTTTATTTATTTGTAATGATAAATGACTTAGAACATGTTGAGGAATAGAAATACCTGTTTTATTGAAGATGGACAAAAAACAGTAACAACTCGTGTGATGTTCATATGAAGCTCTCTTCTAATCTCATACGATGAACCAAAACAACCAGTTCCTATTACCAAGCTCATAAGTATCAGCTGCACACCAAATAAATGTAGCTTGGTAACACATGTGGTACTCCGGTGTTTTTTGCAATATGTCCTGTGAATCACGTGATGAAAAGGACAGGGATAGGGTTAAAAATGGCCTTGACATTGAAGATAACACAAAAAATCATCAGTCAACAAAGTCAGAATTTTATTTTATATATTAGAATCATTACAGTTTCAACTAGTCCTACTTTCCATTTCACATTCTTCATATAACTAGTTACATAATATTCTAAAGATTTATACTTATTAAAAAGTAATACTGATTGACCAAAAGCTTCTTCCACCTGCTTTATCTTGTTGGGAGAAATACTTGAATCTGCTAATGCAGTTGGAAAGGCTTCATTCACTTTTTTTTTCTTTGGGCTTATTTGGACATAAAATTTCAAAATCTGATTTAGATCTTTATTAGATTGACTGTATAAATACTTGCACTATCAGATCAAATAAACTTGAGTCAATAAAGCTTATAGAACCTTTTTAAAGACAACATTTTTTCCAAAAATATAGGTAATATTTATCACATAGGTTATTAATCTTTTGTGCCTATGTGTTTATTGTTTTGCTTCACTGTATTTAAAGCATTGTTAATAAGCAAAACAGTTTTACAAGTAGAAAAGTACACTAAAAACTACCACATATATTCTTTAACCCTTCCCTTGTTTAATGTCATATAATAGTTTTTATGGATACACTTATTTCACTACTTATCCAAGTGAAGCATATCCTTCTAGTATTATTGAAAGAGAGAGTTTGAGCAACTAAAATCCTAGGTTTACATTTTCTCTGAAAGTAACTTAACCTGTCATTATTCACTTGAAATCTGAATGTTACATGTGATGCTCAGACGAAGCTCTCTTCTGAACTTTTAACATTGAACCAAAACAACCAGTTCATATTGCCATGTCCACAATTATCAGCTGCATGCCAAATAAATGTAGCTTGGTAGCACGTATGATACTCTGGTGATTTTGCATTATGTCCTGTGAATCACACATGATCAAACGGACAGGGACGTGGTTAAAAGTAGCCTTCACAATAAAGGTAACACAGACAATCATCAGTGAACAAAATTAAACCACACTGATGCCCTCTTATGAAATTACTTGAAAAAACCTGCTGTATTAACTTATTATGTACAATATTTAAATTATATACAAAAAATAGTTTTAAGTTTAAAATTAACTTGCAAAAGGTCTGACATCTCTTTCCCTTTCAACAATCATGAGTTTATTATGGCTTGAAATACTAATCATTTACATACAGAAACACTCCTATGTATGTG